GCAGAAAAAAACCCCATACATATCACCCTTTAATTCAAATGACTCTCTAAGATTGATAAATGCTTTTAAAAATTCTAAACTTCAGCTGAAAGCTTGCATAATGCTAAAACTTTACTGAAACAGCCAAGAGGCAAAATAAAACTAAAGCCACTTATATGTAGTTTATTAAAATATCTCCACTGCAGTAGAACAAAGCTTGTCATGAAAGACCCTTGGAAAATAATCTCTGACATGCTAAGAAGGTATTTAGGTTTGCTTTGTGGGACAAAAAGTCACAGAGCTTAAAATGCCACTGAGCAAACTTCTTGTTATACGGATTGGCACAGGAAAGAGAACCCCAGATCAGGGTTCATCAGTGATAAAATTGTAGCTGTACAAACCAGGAAATAGATCTCCTTAAAGGCCTTTCCAAATGTTATTAATCATGCCACTGACTCCATTTCAACGAAATTGTTGCCATAAAAAATAATTTTAAAATCAATACATCTTATCCCCAATAGATGCAGACAAATCTGGAGATATTCTTTATGGCACGTCACTGGAATTCTCACTAGTTATATATTTCTCTGAAGTACAGTGCAGAGTTAAAGAATTTCTCAAGCAAAGGAATGGACCAGAGCAACGATTATTAGGGGAAAGTATTTTAAGTTGTGGCTGCTGTACCAGGGTAGAGTTTTATCTCAACAATTATTTGATTTTTGAAAGTAAATACCCAGTTCCTTCAGGTTTTCCTCTAGCAGGCTTGTAAATTGAGACTTTTTATACTTTCCTTCATCAAAAGAAAGAAAAGACAGATGACTTGCTGACTTCTACTATAGCATCCATGATCAGCAGCTCATGAGAATTCTAGTCCAGAAAGTTTGTGCAATCAAAAATTAACATAATACAAAGTTTCCTTATGATAATTCAACTAAGAACAATTTTGATAGGCAGGCTCCTTGCATCAGTAAATGTGTTATTCTATCCGAGATTATGTAAATAAGTTACAACTGATTATGGTGATGAACTAATGAAGAAAAATTAAATGTATAAAGATACAATATGTATAAATGTATATAAGATATTATATAGCATAAGATGTATGACAAAAAGATATGTCAGGACGATTTCACCGTGTCCAACATTTTTGAACAATTTATTCAATAAAATGTTTGTAATTTTAAAAAGAAAAGAAAATGTATCATTATAATAGAAAGGAATATTTGTAGCTCAAGGTTGAACTGTGGGCTTCTTGGTGCCTCTCTGAGCTTGATTGTTTCATTAGGTAACATCGGTAATACTAGCACTGATGATGTTACTTAGTTTGGTGATGAAATGTCTGCAAGAAAACAACCAAGCTCAGAGAGCACCCCAAGGACCCCACAATTGTATTATTCTGGATAGTTAGCTTCAAGCACAAACTCAGAAGAGAAAGGACATGGCATGAAGTCACTTTTTTTTCTTTTTCTGAATTTGGTAATAAAGCTGCATTTCTCTGAATAAAAGCTAGTATTCCCATCACCAAATTCAACTCATACCCAGTTTGCAGAAGAGCTGTCCACATGCTGAAATCTGTGCATAGGTCATCCTTTATCAGCTATGGTGGTAATTTGCAAAAAAATTAATTCAATAAAATTGTTTGTCCCCATGCCCAAGAGATGTATCAATGCCTAAGAATCAAGGATAGGCAATTCAGTGCTTTCCAGATATTTGGGCTACATCCTTCATGATTCTCAGACATGAATGGTTGAGTACTATTGTCCAAGTTAGCAAAAGAAAATTGAAGCCTAAGGTGCTATCTTAGAAATAAATAAGAAGTAGAACTGTGGCTAGTAAACCTCATAAAGGTCTTCCATACATAAACACAGCCTGAGACCCAATCAAAACATATAATAGATAATTGCATATTCATATTTATTTATTACTTTTATATTTTACCTTTCCCTTCGAGGGACGAGAACGTCTTTCCCAGATTTATCAAATAAGTCACTCAAATGACCAAATGAATTCATGGGTTCTGAACTCAGGAATCAACCACTAAGGTTCTGTACATAACTGCGACACTACATTAATTCTCACATCCGATTGCAAAAACGTGCAAGGTCACACCAACACAGGGGTGAGCTGCTGGGGGTTCATAGGGGTTCAGGAGAACCCCTTGCTAAGATTCTATGCAGTTTGGAGAACCCCCAAATCCCACTCCTGGCTGGCCCCGCCCACTCTGCCCCTCCCCTCCCAGGAGTCCCCACACAGTTTTGGATGCTGGTGAGGCAGGGCGCACGCGGAGGCTTGGGGAGGGTGAAAAATGGGCCTCCGGGAAGTTCAGGAAGGCTGGAAATGGGCCTGTTTCCTGCTTCTAGAGAGCCTCCAGAACCCAGAGAGGCCATTTTCTCCCTCCCGGAAGCTTGAAGAAAGCCTCCAGAGCCTGGGGAGGGTGAAAATGGCACTCCTACTGTGGTGCAGGAGGCCGGCTAGGCCATGCCCATCATGG